GACTCAAAAGTCTGACCCACAAGGCAGTGGGATGACGTAGGGTTTCGTTCGGGGACCCTGACCCACGAGGCAGTGGGAGAATGTAGGGTTTTCTTTGGGGACCCTGCCCGGAGCCGATGACTCAATAGTCTGACCTGCTCGGCTGCAGGGGGTTGGCCTAACCCGAGGGCGCAGGGAATAAGGCATTACTGTCTCATTCCTGATGCGGCTGCGCACAGCAGGTGCCTTTTGAGCAGCACCGGGCTCTTTGGTTTTAAAAGTATTTCGACCGTATCGGATAATGCGCCGGCGGTCACGGTCAACCGTTGGGCGATCGGAGTGTGCGGTTTTTGGGGCCGTCCTTTTCTAACCCGTCCTTCCTGGGGGAAGGCAGCATCGCTGCTTCCATAAATATGGACATGCTGGTCGCCTGGGGGGAATGCCTTACTGCCTTCACACTCCTGTCGCAGAGGACAGTACGACTTTACCCTCAGACCGCCTCGTAGCACGATTGCTCGTAGTACGGGGTCTCGCTGCTCCCCTTTGGCCTTCCTGGCATGGTTGCACCTTGTGGAACGAAGTTCCAGCCAGTGTAGCCCGCCGGATCATTGCAGCATTGAAGCCCGACCACCACGTCAAGGTGGCAGCTTTAGGTCGGGAAGCTGCCTTACTCGCTTTGGGTTTCTCTTACTTGCGGGCTCGGCAACATATCACACTATGGCAATCCCACAGCATTGAAGTTACTGGACAATCCCAACAACCCTCAAACACATTTTCAAATTCTGTGGAAAACTAATATTCAGCACAGGATTGCAAGAATTACAAATTATCAAGTAAATATGAAAACATGACATTTCCCTCCAGAAAGGATGTATTTCGGCCATTCTTAAAAGGAACAAACGAACCAACTCCAAGTAAACTTTTGAACACAGAATGAGTCGTTGCTTTACCAGCTGATATGACTGCAAGGGAGTGTACACAGTACGATCACGGTGCCGGGAGAGGTATATCACATGTGTGTTTTAACCAAGTATGCGATATCTGAGTCATGCCTTTAAAGACCAAAAAATGGGGAAGTACCGAAACAACGCAACGAGAGAGGGAACAACACAACGATAAGCGAGTAATCTCATCCATCTACAATGGCTTGTATGTGACCTTGTAGCGTCCAGTGACGTTTCCGATTGGCTGCTGCCTTCGTTTGCAGCAAACGGTGCAGATAACGTACTGAAAAAATAAACATATGGGACATTGGGAGTGACGTGATTCAAGGTGCATGCAAAAACTAATTGAGATTCTAATCCGGGAGCATTGAAATTAACTTATGAATGGACAAACCCAATTTAGACACCAGTAGGTATAGGATTCTCCTGGATTTTTCAACACAATAAACCTTTTGAATAAAGCAGCGCACACAGACAGCCCAGTGGGTAATGTCCTGGACTCCTGTTTCCACGAGCCAGGTTCGAACACTCGCATGACCCATTCAAAACGTCTGCCAAAACCCATCTTAGAATTCGTTCCACGTGTTATTTCATTAATAGAAGAGGCGAAAGAAGCTTTAAGAAGACGACCTGCATTGAAAGTAACGCGTAAGCTGATTTAACTACATATCCAACTCCCTTGAGGCTTTCGATCAAGAAACAGTAGAAAATATTGCCTGAAAGAACGAATTGTAATCTTCCAAGGACAGTCTGGTGTACCTCAGCATTACTAATTCGATCTTCCCACCAGGTCTGACAAATGCTTCGTAGGCACCGATGGTGAAACACTGATATCTTTCATTTCCTCTGTGCGTGAGCAACGTCTCTGACCCATAAGCGCTGGACTCGAGTTACAGTTCATAAACAATGCATGTACACGGCCATACCGGGGTTTGAACTCCATACATCTGATACGCGAGGCGGCCGTGGTATCACCACTCCACCAGCACATGCTAGACGCACCAGAAATATTATCACTGAACAGGCGGACGTGTTTACGCCCAAGTGATGTGAATAGCTTTGCCTGGCACCTCGTAAGACGATCCAGTAACTGGATTGCTTGTGTTGACCAAGTGACTTGCCTGTCAAGCAGCGATATGGACGCTTGAAACCTGAAAGATCTAAGAATGGTTGCTGGCACTTCTTGGTTCAAGAAAGTGCATAGTCTAGCTAGACTAGTCTACCATAAATCAGCCGCAAAGCCGGGGGCAAAGCGGAGGTAAAATGCTAAGTACATGCAGAACATTACAGCAACAGGGATGCCGTTTCACGTACTCAAGGGAAGGTTTGTTGGTGGGTTATTTAATGATATTGTGAAACTAATATACATATTTCTAACGAAACTAGGGTCAACCGCTGGCCCTTACATCTGTCTTTTATTCGAATCGCTCAACTTCGACTGTTGTCTGTGGGTTCAGAACTGTCACAATTAATGAATCATTACCACTATGCCATTGTACCTCGAAACGCCACCACACTACCAAACTAAAGGAGTTTCCAGCGGTGCTGTTAGATGCTACCGTTCTACGTTCACTTCAGTTTTTTTTAGCGAAAACGAGTCAACCAATTTTTGTAATTCTACTCTAAGAAGACAAAACGACTGTTTTCAAAACAGCAGATATTTTCACATGGAGGTATGGCATCTGAGCACCAATATTTACTACTGGCGTAATTCTCTCGATATTGGGGACTATGGTGATGATAACAATAATAATGACGACAATAATAATAATAGTAGTAATGGTCGCGCAAACCACGTGGACGTCAGCGGATTGCCTTCCTTAGTTGCATTTGAAGCCCATCACGGCGTTAGGTGGGCGAAGTTGATACCTCGTGGCGATGTAAACGCTATTTGGCTCACTGCATCAAAATCAAACATTATCATCCATTTTCAGGATAAGTCCCCTGTCAAACGCACTTTCGTTTGTTCAGCACTGTGGATTTTGGTGAAAATGCTAGGTAACGGTCGGTCCCAGCTTCCAAAGGAAGCAATTTTTAGAGAGGATTTTCTCCTTCGATAACGCCTTTCCTACTTCAGAACTGGCATCATACCGCAGTAAGAAAGGTCTTGCCAAAGGTTAACTAGAATATCTCAGATAAAACCACGGACCTAGAAGATAATCCACAGGCCACTGAGATGATGCCACTTTATTTCAACGCTTCATTAACTCGAAAATCCAAAGAAAAAACGTAACAGGATAGAGGAAGATAGGGTCAGTAAACGAACAGCTGTTCACAAGAAACAAGTGAACGCCGCGAGGTACACAGAGGGCAGACCCGCAATGTGGTTTGGTTCTTTTTCCCACCGCAACCCCTTATTTCTATCTATTTCGGTTGAAAACCAGACACGGATGGGCCGATGGACTGAGGCCTACTAAACATCATTCCAAAAAATCCCGGTGTTTCCAGTAGCCAGTAGCCGACAATATGGTGCGAAAGGTTACCAGCGAAGCGGACAGCCGTACCGGTTCTTTATGGTCACACGAAAATTAATGGGAACAAAGGCCGAAATAATTGACCTGTCGTAATAAAACCGAACCAGCCGTAATCCACTCACCTGATATTGGTAAAACAGAGGTGCATTTGGAGAAGTCGCGCAGCTAAATAACAAATACTAAGACCACGTTCTTAAATACGTCTGTGGTCATTTTCTCACTATAAAGCTGTAAACATAAGCGAGTAAACTTGATGGTTGTAGGGCAGTGAAGCATCTGTGTCGACGTTGGTGCTTCTGTTTCTGATGAGCATGATGAAAGTGGCCATTTTAGTCGCCCCATGGATCAATTGTCAAACTAGTTGGGTTTCCATTTAAAAGAACAATCTCTCAAAGTAAATGAGCAAACGCAGAGAAGCGATTTCCATCTGTCCATTATCTTAGTTTCCTACCTCCATAAAGAATGACAAACATCAGTAGCGTAGCTAAATTCCAGGGTCACGTTTATTGAACGACTATCAGAAACCATTCTGGTGTAATCATACGATGCGATCTGAGAGGCAACTGCAGCAAATAACCGAAGGTTCAATAATGCTGAAAGATACTGACAGGGGTTGGTCAACACCACTGGCATTAGACATATTTGAAATGCAATAACAAATGATTACGAATCCCAAACTGTGGAGTCACGAGCGATTTAAGGGTAAGGTTTTTAAAGGTTTTTTAAAGGTTATTCCTATCCCACTTATTGCAGGGGTATCCTTCAACGACCCTTCAGTTATTCTAAAGTTGTCTAATTACAGTGTCTCGCGTTCACCATCTGACTGTCGCCATCTTCAATTATTGCAACGTGTCACCGAATCTCATCAGCTCTACGGGTTTCTTTGGCTTTAAATTCAGCTTCCTTTTTAGAAATTGGAGGTGGTAAAGCTAGATGAAGAATCCAGGTTCTGGCAAAACCACCGTGCAGTCTACGGATAAACTTGGAAAAGAAATGGATGCCATACGAAGTATCCTCGTGAATGGAGACGTTTGGGGTGACTAAAAGCGACACTATGGACAATAGCCTTTGAAAATGTTCCGTTTTGACCGGCGTCTTCGTTTTGTTTATGAACACAAGGTATCTTGCAAGCATTATATTACCTAGTTTCTATCACGTTTTGTTGGGTCAAGTCTCTCACATCTCGATCCACCTGCATAGCTCAATTCAACAACGGACCCCGTGTGTATGTATGTATACTTTTATTTTCCAAGATGTTTCCGTGTTCCACAATCAACTCTGAAGCTGATGCAACATTGAAGCCGTCAGCAAGTCCTGTTAGAACAAAAATAGTTTGAAAAGACATTTGTTTACAGCTAACTGTTCCAAGGACCTCAAAAAATTGCGCCAGCTAGAATGAACACGATTCGAATATATCAAGACGTATGTCCCAAACATGCATCAAAATCTCATTTTAAAAAACTGCAGGGACGATTTGCCCAAAAACTAGGTGATAGACAAGCGACACTGGCATGTCCCAGAGAAAGGTCGCATCAATAGAACAAGAGTAAAACAAGAGGCTCTATAGCCGGTAACTGCGATAGCAATTAAATTCTGCTGCGCGACCTCACTTAAAGATGCATGCACGTCAAAAACGAAATACTTAGGTTTCCAGCACCAAGTCGAGTACACTGCCAGGAAGTGCAGTTACGAACATCCGCATCCGAAGTGTCGAACGTCCGTGGAAACAGAACGAAAAGAATGACGGCTAGAGCGCTCGTATTCCAAGAAAGAACAGAATGAACACCAGGATGACAGCCAATTATATGTTCTCCAATTTTACCCACTTAAGTATTGCTACCATCGAGGAGCAGATTACTGTCGTGTTTTGCTTTGAATGACCGATTATCTATTCAAGTTGTATTTTTCAAAGCATTGCTCTACACTGAATTTGAATTTGGCCTGCATCGCAGCCGTGCGACCTGTTGGGATATGGGAGTCTCCCAATTCGGGATCAATGAGGAGGCAATCAACACCGGATCACGTGAGGTTGGAACAGTTGCCCTATATGCAGTAAGTCATTCATACCAGCGGTGAATCGAGTGACTGAGTGTGGAGGTCCGCGATGCCCATTGGCGATTATTCCCAGCAAGGATGAAGGGGCTGTAAGGTGTCTCTCGACTTTTCAACACAGACTAATTTTCCTTTTGAGACAGAATATCGACTGAAACTGCAAAACACTCCCACACCCTCCAAAAAAGCGGCTATCTGTGGGGAATGTATGGCTTCAAGGTCACAGGATATTGACTGATGTCGGGATGAGATGACCTTCTTCCTGGTAACAAATCACGTTGAACGGTCAGTCATGACCAAATATACAAAATTTTCTATCAGGCTTCCGTCCTGTGAAGTGAAGTCAATCTATACTTCTCAGCTTTTCGGTATAGAATGATTTCACCTACTGGAATAAGGCTCAATTTCGAAAACCTCCACCCCCTCCCCTGGCGTAGTAATTCTACGCCATAGCACGCAGTACGATGTGATCAAGAAGGGGGCTGACAAAAAATGCAGAACCATGGAGGAAGCAAAAAAGTAATTGAACTTACCCAACAACGTTTCCACAGGAGCAGTACGATGACACACAGGACGCAGATCGACAACAGGACATACTCAATCGGGACGGATGGCACGTTGAACACACTTTGACTGACTGTAACCGGGAAAAATTATGACGAGCAACTCAGCTTAGGTAATAAAAAAACTAACAACCGGAACCAGATTAGCAAGATAAACAAGTAGATTGTTTAAAAGGTTGAATACCTCAATGCGGCCAGACAATGGGAAGTTCAGTCACGCGCACCTATTGGAATTTATCGAGTGCGTGTACAGTTGGACTGGGTGTCGTAGCTTAGGTAGATAAGGCACCAAATCCAACGCAAAGTAGCGCCAATGAAAAGGAGACAAAATGCTATTAGCAATACATACCCATTTGCAAATTAAGGGAAGGACCCATTGACTTAAAACGTTTGCGATATTCTCAACTGAATGTACTACACGAAGTCCACCTCACTCTCCAGATGGTACTATATTCGAGATATCTAGGTACGGTTTTTGACGCAGTACACCACATGTTCTCAGAGAGCCCGAGACTAGTTCCATCTGTCTTGGGACTCATCATCACGTAGACGTAGATGCCTTATGTTCTATTTGAACATTCCACTGTACGCGACTGACAAAATACATTCAATTACAAAATAATTTGGCGGTCGACTAGAACATAAGACCGGTGAGAACTCGGGGACTACGTCTACCTGATGGGTCCCAAGAGAGGTGAAACCGGTATTAGTCTTAAGAGAATATATAAATGCTGTCGTAGCACAGAATAGTGTCTTTTCCTCGCGTTGACCTTGTAGAACGCGCAAAAAGAAATATAACGGTCGTACAGCTATGCCAGAGGACAGTGGTCTAAAGAACAGAGACCGAGAGAGAATTTTTCAAAATTGTACCAAATGCACCTTTTGTTGATTGTTCACTTGAATAGCATTCCTCATCAGACTGAGCTGTGAGAACAGCATGTAAGCATTAATACGACGGCTGCAGCTGCTTCAGGCTCCACCAACCTAGACGTACACCTATACCAAACTCTTTGCTTTTGGGGTTGCAAGTCTAAACTCAAAAAGATAGGCTAACGGGAACGAGATGTCGTTACTCATTTCTTGTACTCTTTGTAAATTCGTTGCGAGGTCATAGAAGAGTCGTCTATGAGGTCCATCTAGTCTACCTGCATTAGCTCAGGAACATCATCCACCCTTTTGACTTGTCCATCCACATTTGTACATCGGAAATAGCACTGCAAACAGAAAACAAATCCGTACAACAACTGACTAATGTGGTTGCTTCCCTAACACATGCACATCCTGGTGCTAACTAATTTCTACTTTAAAAGATGTGAAATTCTCATGTTCAACTGTTTTCTTCAAGGCTAGATCAAGGTAGCTCGACTCAAGTGACAAAGAATGTAGTAATCACCCACAAAACAGAATTTTGGGCGAGGATTGTCGACTTCCCTTGAGAATGATTTACTTTCTGAGAGCGTGGAGATACACTAGCTGATGACTGAAAAAAGCCCACGTGATGAATAAGGTAGCTGCTGAGAAGTGAGTGAGAAACTACATAGGGGACATTACGAAGAAGCTGCTTGTGCCATCGGAATCCAATGCACTAAGATTAGAATATCCAGTGTGTTTGGGGGCAATGCGATTGTCTCGTGCACCAAGGAAAGCGTGTATATAGGGGATTGAAGGGCTGAGTACCATAAGAATGCATAATTGTCCGTATTTTTTTTCAAACAAAGACGAGCAATATTCACATTCAACAGAAGTACACAAATAAAACTGTCAAGATAAATGCATCGACCAACGGGGACAAAGTTAAGCTTCGCAACGATAAAAAAAATTTTCAATCTAAAAAGCTCTTCATGCGGAAAGTGTATTAGGGATAGTCAGTAGACCCAGTAAATCCTACAGCTTCAAATCGTCGTTTAGCTGTAGAGCCCCTTCAAAGCCTAGCTGTCATACCAATGGAAGGAGGCACGAGGGTTGGGATAATCCCAGGTTACTCAAGCGTAGACAGCAGCAGTCGATATGCTGAGATTGGGTTCGAACCACGGGCCTTCCGATCCGTCAGCTAGCGTCTTAATCACTGAGCCCTCCAAAGGGAAAGAACTGCTCTTGATGTGTCGTGCTACTGACGGACAGACCAACATGAGAATAAAAAGACATTCACGTTTCCTTTGTGAATTCAGTTAATAAGACGCTACGAAACCCTCTATAATCGGGTATCCTTTTGTCATCAAATACAAATGAGAGCACTAGAGTCAAAGAAGACAGGGTTCGTACACTTAGGTTAGAACATGTCACACAAGATTGCCAGTTCTGAATAGATCAACGAGAAAGATGCAACTATTTTAGCACAACGAATAATGTTACTACTGGGAGAGCAAAACGAGATGACATTCTGATGTCAACATACAACGGACTAAAGGGGATGTATGAAACAATGGTCGTCGAAAGAATCTTTCAAAATTCTTAGTGTGGCTGATGGGCTCGCTGTCTCACTGAAATACGAGATCATATAACTACCCTTACGGGGAGTGTCTGCAAAAAGATACCTCTAAGAGGGACCTGCACACTAAAAGTTGAAAAATATTTTCTGGGTAAGGGCCACTTGCTAATGAAGATTGCTCATTGGGGATGATTCCAGGAGGCACAGAGTAGAGCGCTGAATGTGTGCAATATAACGCATCACACGCGTGTCGGGTAGATCACCGTGCATGGCGAGTTGATAATGCCTACGGAAGCTACTGACTCGCATCGATTATACCTGACTGCCCGCCTAAGCTTTTCAAAAGTCATAAAGTGAACTGGGTTGTGTCATTCCGGAAAGCTGGCGGTTAGCAAAACGGGACCCCAACTGGTCGTTCATAAGCCGTAGGGACGGGGCTGTTGATTTCTCGGTCTTCGAATACTGAGGCAAAACGATCGCGTATGTCGTTGTTCTGTCAACACTTACGGAGGGCTTTCTGCACGTAAGCTAGGAAGGTTAGAGCATAGAACAAGCAACCAATTTACAGTTCAAAGTTTTGGTGCCACTACAACTCGGGTGAGAGTTTCTACCTTCATCCGGGAATTAGTACTTCACAAAAAGGCAACGGTTTCGAAAGACATCGGGATATTTACCAACCTTCTCTTGTGTGACAGACGATGTAATTTGAGCTGAAAATATATGGACCCGGTTCATCAGACAGAAATTGTAGTAAGGTATAGTTGTGCAGGAAAACCAAATGGTCGATAAAATACGTTGAGACCAATAATACCGAATGCTCCTCACGTTCATTTCCCTTCACTGTACTTTGATCTATTCTATTTTTCGAGGAACATGTCATAATTGCAGTGGAAAGGGGACTATTTTAAGCAGCCATGAGGGGACCATCTTGTGGTTGAGGTATCTACTGGATAACTCTGCAAAGGCTTGTGCACACTGCGAATTTTTTATTGTTTGACTGACGTGTTCAAGGATCGCCTTATGTGCAGTTTACTTCAAACCACCTAAGAAGTAGAGTAATCGCTCACTACTAGGGACCACTCCAAGGTCAATGTTGCAACCACGCTGCAACAGAGCTAAACAGCAAATTACATTTCCGGTAATCTGCACAGTAAGCCAATGCTCGGAGGCGAGCACATGGCTAGCCCTCGAGGGATGGCCAGTCTACGGGGAATCCTGCCTGACGGGGAACAGTGGTGTGGACCCTTCAAGAGAACGGTCCTTCTTGAGGGAATTCTCACTAGGGAGATGCATTTTCAATGTCGCCAGAAATTGATCATGTTGAATTCGTAGTGCTGAGCCCATATTGCGCAGGATAACGGCGAAAAGATAAGCGCTAGGAACAAGGAGAGGTGCTCGTGTGCATTGCCAATAAGTCTTAACAATGTTAAAGTGAATTAATCACGCCGCAACAGAGAAGGAAATGGTTTGTTTGTTAACACAGGATTGTAGAAAAAGGAGACCATCCAAAGCACCATGGACGGATGTCAGTATGAGAAATGAAGTAGGCAAGCAAATATCGCAAACATCAGACCTTTTAGACCTATGCAACCAGTAATAGATTGACAAACAAGGAGAAGATTACCGGTGTTGGGTAACCCAATTTACGTGCAGAGAGGCACGTGCTAGCTACTGAAAAAGTCAGTACCACGTCACTTACGTTCAAGATATTGGTGTCATTTTTAGTAAGTACACCCAGAACTCCTCAGGACCGATTCCACACCATGAAAGGAAGAGTGTATTCACCTGAATATCCGGAGTAACCACAACATCTGGCAGTTAAACCAAGGGCTGAGGTCGACTCAACTCACAGATAATCTGCCATCCTTTAACGCGCGAATGTGTTATCTGCCAAAATTTTGAGTGGATACACACGATGCATGTTAAGGATCACGGATACCAGTGAAAACACACTTCAAAAATTTAGATTGTCCACGGTCAAATCTGCAGGGAAGGTCGAGCAAATAGTAATGCGACCAAAATGGGGGAGATACCAGCCACTTCCAAAACGTTCCCCTCTTTCGATCGTCACAAGGCCGGGAGTGTGTTCTCTTATAAAGTGTATTCTGCTTTGAGTGGAGAACCCGTTCGCTTCTCTGCAACGACGGGAAAAGTCTAATCACCCGCAGTAAAAAAAAACAATCTTTGAATCAGTTTCTTCATAGAGTCCATTCGCAGAAAGCTCACTGCATTCGAGTTGTACACAAGGTACGAACCGTTATCAGTTGCACTATAGCAGATGGTTCTCAAGTATATGCGCTTCCCCTGACGATAAACATGAAGAACATATATTACAATAGAGGAAAAGTAGCGAAAAACTACTCGACCAAAACAATAAACTTTGGATTTATCCCTATACAAGCACAAAAATTATGGATAATAAGGTATGCCGCATTCCACCTTGGTGTGAAAGAACAGCCACCTGCAAAACAGACTTCTAGCACTCATGCGTAACGTCAGCTAAAAATTTGTAAAAGGTTAAGCTAATAGGCAATAGGCTTGGTTGGCAAATAGAACCAGGGGTGAAAAATGACAGTTCTTACTTTCAGGATCGTCTTCAGCGCGTCGAACCGATTCGATGGTTGCTTTGGGCAGTTTGGATAACTGTGAGTTAAGCACATCAAGGTTTTTGAGATTGTTTTTTTCTGGTTCACCGCCTACATCATCTTCATCTGAAATACCAGGTTCACGAACATTATCGTCGGACATTTGATTGGCAGGAGACTTTTGCTTGGCTTTAGCTGCTTCCATCGCTAAACCTAATGATGACAACACTTTTTCAGTAAACGGATTCTGTTTAACTTGGGTTTCCAGGTTTCCAGAAGCCTTAGATAATTCTGTCATACCTCGAAGGTTATCATTTGTGAAAGAATCTTCAGGTAGTTGCGGTGCTTGATAGGACTCGCCATGTTTGCCTGACTTCCATTCGATATTCTTAACAGGCTCTTTGGGTACCCAAGTAGGTTTTACACCAAGCACTTTAAAAGATCCACCAGTTTCCGTCACACTTGTAGCATTCTTACCCGAAGGGAGTTTTGTGGGAGTAGGCTTGATATTTTGTGTCCCAACATCAGAGTTATTTATACTTGGCTGTAGTAGCGGTTGATTTTGTACAGCATTCGGTTTGTTGTCCACGGATTGATTCACTAGCTCTTTACCACCCAGCGAGCCCGCATGAATTTGCTCATCTGGTTGTTCCACTGGCTCCGCACCCAACTTCTGAATAATTTTCTGAGGTTCCACTTCGTGTAGACTTGTTTCCTGAGTTGTGTTACCGGTGATATCAACATTTGAGACTGAAACCTGATCATTTGGTGAACTAGCCTGAACACCAGTGTTCGAGAGTGATCGGCTTGATTGCATTTTGAATTCATCCTTACGTCGCTCTTGATGACTATCTCTCAGAGACACATTCCCGTGATCATCGTTTGGAACCGGCAACCGCGTATCACCAACGACGGGGGTTCGCGCATTTGCATTCGACCGATCTTGTCTGAGAGGCTGAACTGGATTGACTGGTAAAAATGAAGCAGCTTGGGAGATGTAAACGATCGCATAGACTGAAAAATAAGCCATTTTAGGAAGTCAAACTAAGGTTCTTGATTACAAAATCTACATCTGATAAAGAGAATTCAGTGATCAAAGAGGTTGCGTCTGAAAACTCTGCACGATGCTTGCAAACTATAGCACAAGGAATGTGGTTGTGAAAAATAGAGGCAAATGAAAGTAGTATCAATTTGCTAATCTAGAATCATGTATAGAACACTTCTGTTCCCTTAGAAAGGATTTTAAACGAGGCAGCATTAACTGCCTGGAATGCGATGTAAGTAACTCTACAAATGTAGTTTTCTCATTCATATGAACCTGGAATTCAAAGCAGTTGTGTGTAACAACTGCCTACGCGATTCATGTTTGTGATGGCAGTTGTCAACATACGGCGGTCGGTATCCTTGATACCGACCGAATAGTAGACCCAGTGGCAAACTCAAGAATTCGCGCGCGACTTATGTTGTGTGGCTTGCCACAGTCAAAGTAAGACATTCAAGAGGATATTTATGGACTGTTGTGGATTAGTCTGAACAAACACACTTCGTAGGTAACCCCATCACTAAACGAGACACAACCATGAATGTTACGGATTCGAGACTACTAGGAGTTCCCTAATGGTATTCACAATCCACCTATTGCATACACAGGTACCTTTTGAACTATGTCTATTCAATTCGAACATCGGTGGATGGGCTGTTTTATCTAATGATGCAAGTGGTGTGAACCGAAATATATTCAGCTTAATCAGTCTAAGGTAGCTGAAAGTCAAATCATTCATGTGTGGCATCCGGCCAGTATATGGTTGTCAAGTAAGCCACAAAAAACCCAAGAAGTTCGGCTGCAACACACGCCCCACCACACCTGTAATACAGCTCGTGGGTAACACATCAGATTGCAGGCTGCCCAAGGTCTCGAAGAAAGCTTTTTTAGCCCGGATCTTCATCTCGTGTTCACTGTAGGCAGCATGACACTAGACAGTGCGTATAAAGATTTCAAAACAGCCAGCACAAACAGTATGGTCATGAAGGAACGCACCTGCAATGTACAATATGGTGAACATTGCAAGCCAGTGGGTGGAAAGGTTTCACATAAATAATACGAGCTGAAATCATAAAAAAAATCAAGTTTGAGGGACTAAATATGCTGAGTCTGTTGAGTGCATGTCGTTTAGCCAACAAGATGTATGAATCCTATTTGCGCTTGAAGAGCTTTGATGTGGACTGTGTACAGCAAAATAATATAACCACGACCTTCCACTAATGCACTTCACGAAAATTAAGGAGCCTGAAAATGTCAGTTTGTGTAAGCGTAAAAAAGAAGCAGTAAATATGTCTGGGTGGGTTTTGACCAGAAGCAAGTTAGGTAGATGACATTCTAACCGTCTGTTAACTGGTGATTTGGGAAGTTCGAGGTGAGAAAATTACAGGGAAGTCGTACCATGTTTTGACCAGCATGGGACAAACTGAAGGGAAAAGTCCGGTCTGGTAACGAGGACCGGTAGCTAGATTTCGCAACCACAAACTATACAGGACATAGTCCGTGGTAGAAACGGTAAAGAGATGATAGAACAGCCACGTCTGGCCGACGCACAGGAGACTTTAAGTTGCCATTCAATGGCTGGTTGTCGCTGGGACTAATAACTCCTAATTGTACATCGTCCGATAGGAGGAGCACGACTCCAGACATGGGAGCAATACTCAGGCATTGGATGAATCTGGGCTTCGAAAAGTAAAAAAGGTGGGACATAAACGAGGAAAGTTCTGCGAACCGAAAAGCTGTTTTTTGGTGGCTCTCAAGGTCAGTCGATTTGGGTGATCGCACGGCCCTATGATGGATATGCTGGGGAAAACGAAAAATGAGAGCTACAAGCATCAGGCAAAGAAGATGAATAGCTCCGAATATTTCGAAAGGCGTAAGGTGGACGAACTTGCCAGACCGGCAAGTGGAAGTAAACAAACTCCGAAAATTGTACGTACGTCTTGGCTCCACACATTGCCCCGGAAAGGTGAGTGAAAGTATCGAATGATGCAACTAAATACTATTGATCGGACCAGTGGGTTTTGACTACACGAATTAATTCCGGAAGCAAAAAACTATTAACATTGATTATTTAGCGAAACTCGCCCCCAAATCCCTTACCACTGGACAAGCTTACCGCAGCAACGCTTTAAAACGGAAAAGGTTAGAAAATGCTCAAAATATACAGTTACACGCCGAAAGATCAGAGAAACGTGCAGTGCATTGGCCATGCATACATCGCCCTTCAGCATCCGTAAGACCATGGTTTGACGCCATAAATGACGGAAATCGACAAGTGCTGCTATGCTGATGTGTGCAATAACCTCATCTATCACAGCACACAAAACATATATAGTAAATAATAAATGGTTCAGCTGCAGCACCCTTTCCGTGCCTACTTACCATACCACCCGAAAGAAGGACGAGGGCTAGGACATCATCATCATCATCATCATCGACAGCATGACATCAGTGTTCAACAACGATGCTTCACTGCCGTACAACCATGACTCACTGCCGTACAACCATGACACTGGTAAGTTACCTAAGCCTAGACAGAAGTCGGGATGCGGAGAGTGGGTTCGAGCCACAGACCTTCCGATCAGTAAATTCGCGCTCTAACCACGAGCCAACACAGTAAAATTACATAATGAAGATAAAGAAGTATGTCACAATTTCCAGGAGTATTTCTCTTTGTCCAGGTATATTCAAGAAAGACAAATGCCTCTTTGAATTAAGGAAGCTACGACTGAGGTGGAGGTAAACCTGGTGTTACTCAAGCATTTAGTGTGAAAAAAGCTGTGATCAATGAACCTCCCACCTGATCGATATCCCTGACATTCTCGAACTTGTGCGTCGCGTGCCGGAGTTAGGCGTCGCAGTATCAAGGAAGCCACTATCTGTCTTATGACAAGAGTGAGCTTTAGACTTCTATAGTTAGGGGAGTTGCTTCGGGTAGCTTTTTGTAATGGATTTATAATGACTGATTGATTCCAACCTTCCAAAAAACACTCTTAGTCAAACATAATATAGATTCCCCATTGCCCTTGATTAATGCCGTAGAAACTCGTCTGGCCCAGAGACGCGCCTCAAGGCAGAAATGTGCACAAATATCCCATCAGCCGAGGATGGATTTAAACTGACAGCCCATGGTATATCGACTGCTCCTGTCTAGGCTTGGGCAATCAGGCAGTATATAGGCCTCGTGCTTCCTTCGAGTGGCATTACAACTGGACACCGAGAGGATGCTAAGGCTGAACCATTACTATTATTTATTATGACTCAACTGGACCGAGTTGAGTGGTAGATACTGTCGAGGTGACAGATCTGACTACACTCCTGTCAGGAAAATTCGGCCCTGTAGTCTAAACACGCACTGGATTTCTAACATCCTCTGATCATTTCAACAAAAGGGGGCATATCTCGTGCTGTTCTGCCCACTTGCCGGAAGTTTCCGGACTGCATCCACTTCTTCGATTTCTCGAGCTCCCTGTCCATAATAAAACTGTTGCAGTTGCCGTCCAACTGTTTGTCTTGCCAAATTAAATCTGTCACGAAAAGACGAGCGTATCGCGATGTAATGGTTTGTACACCTCCACAACCCATTCAGCTATACTGAGGGGCGAACAGAGCCCCTCATACCAGGTTGGTCCATGTACATAGGTCTCCTCCGTTGGAATGTTCGTGGTGAGTTGCCCCTCAAAAAGTCAAAATGCTCCGGCGGTCCTGAACCTGCAACCACTGCCCAGCTATTAAGCTTTAGAGCCAAAGGCCTCGTCTGATTATCCCCCTCTTAAGGCCTTGCAAATTGGTAGTATCCCAAACCACAGTCACAAATAACAATGGCAAATGACTCCATGTCAGATGGGTCGTCGCATGGAGCCACCAGCCAGATTACCTTAACTGCTGAGTAATTGCGAGCAGGTAAGAGAAGCAAACCACTGCTGACGCCTTTCTTCATTTACTTTCTTTTTTCTCCACGCGATCTCGTTGCTAGCCAACACTTCTAAGGCCCACTCCAGAGGACAGAGAAAACCATCCGTTCCCGTTGGCTGCAATATCTAGGGCTAACTCGGCCACCACTACCTTTGACAATTCGAAACCATTCTTCAAACCCCGATGCACAGTCCACACGGTGGACTTTAAAGTTCACACTCTGAAACACCTCGATCTGAAGCTGTCACCTTGGCGTGGTAGTCGGCCTTCTGCGCTGCAATGATCCTGCGGGCTATGCTGACTGGAACTCAGTACCTAAAGGTTCAACCATGCAAGAAAGGTCAACAAGGAGAAGCCCGACGAAGAACAGCGAGTCCCCGTACTTCGAGTAATCGGCGGTCTGGAGGTAAAGCCGTACCGTCCTCTGCGATAGGAGTGTGAAGGCAGTAAGATGTTTCGTCCAGGCGACCAGCACGTCCATATTTATGGAAGCAGCCGTGTTACCTTCCACCGAGGAAGGGCTGGTTAAAAAAGGTCGGTCCCACAGCCCGCACACTGCAATCGCCCAACAGTTGACCGTGACCGCCGACGCATTATTTCATACGGTCGGAATACTTTTAAAACCAAAGAACCCGGCGCTGCTGTAAAGGCACCTGCTGTGCGCAGCCGCAACTGGAGTGAGACAATAACGCCCTACTCCCTGCGCCCTCGGACCAGGCCGGCTCCCTCCAGCCAAGTAGGTCAGACCAGTGAGTCATTGGCTCCGGGAAGGGTCCCCGAGAAAACCCTAACAACCGTTATCTCGTGGTCCAGACTTTTGAGTTAGAGGCTAGGGGCAGGGCTCCCGAACAAAACCCCACATCCTCCCATTGACTTGTGGGTCAGACTTTTGAGTCAAAGGTGGGGTACATCAACTAAACTCCCTTCTTCGGCCTGCACAACCTGAAAGTATAATTTGCCTTTGAATCTCTTGGCGCGCCGGCCTTCCCTCTCAACCCATCGAACACAGCAGTGCAGCCAATCCATCTGTCAACCCCCCAGCCACTATTCCGTGCCTCAACTATCGCCAAAAAGATTAAAATAATCACCTACTTGCCTCAGAAGATCTGATCCACGTTTCGGCCTTAAGTGTCCGTACTCTATGTCAAATTGAGCAACCGGCACCCCTTGCTGAAACCTTACTTTCCCTCTCTATCGATGTGTGTTGTGTTTCCGAGACACGCATACAAGACTCTACTTCGGTCGTACTCATCAAGCCGCTTAGGACGAGTCCAGATGTTCCACATTTCACTCTTCGGGCATCCGGTGATCCTGACGCAATGGCCCGTACTAACTACGGTGTGGCATTTGCACTCAGACCCAAGGCTGAAAGCACAATATTGGACTGTTCTGTTTGTTTGTCATATAAGCATAAGCCCAGACAGATAGAACTTCTGATGCTGAGAAAGACGAGTTTTATCATGATCTGTCAAGACTGCTTCGGCCGACAAGAAGAACGGATATAGTAGTCCTGGCGAGTGGTATGAACGCCCAATTTGGACGATAAAGTGCGGTAGAAGCACAGTTAGGTATTCGACTTGGACTCGATGCTGAGCGTACGGATAATGGAGAGCGGCTCCTTCAGTTATGTGCATATAATCATCTGTTTCACGCCAGTACGAACTTCCAACAAAAACGTACACACCGAGTTACTTTGAGGCCACCTACCACAATACAGATGTGGATTCGATTGGACCATATGGCTATCAGTTAAGGATTGTCGTTCCTTCTGGGGTACACAACTTGACCCTGATCACGCCATCTTGGTGACCTGCTTAGCACTTCGCTTTCCGCCAGCACTATGCGTGCCGAAAGAGAGCAGCTCCGTCCATCAACTTCGACAAGTTTCGGTAGCTGAAGAGTATCGAGCTGATCCGGCTAGGAAGCTACTGGAAATGCATACTCCTTCAGATGTCCCACGTCAGTCGTTTTTCTGGATTTGAAAGCTGCTTTCGATCGTCAGCAACTTCGCCAGTGTCCGAAGATCAGTGTCCCAAATTTCTCTCCCTTATGAGGGCACTGTATGCAAACTCCTGTGGGTGCGTGCGAGTATCCAGGAAGCCATTGCCTGAGTTCACCATTTCGTGGTGTGAGACAAGTGTAGTAACG